TAGCCCACCTTTGGCTGCATCGTCGTGTCAAATGTCAAGCGTGACGAGACGTTGAAATGGCTGAAACCATCTATGACCATTGCAGACGAAACCATAGCCACGGAATTAAATTGCAAGAGAATATAAAATAGGTGACTGCATACTTTGCGAGAATGAGAGAGCCACTTTACTCTTCATACACAAAACTCTGTCCGAACAAATCATGAAGCAAACAACGGGAATTCACAGTTGCGAACCATTGACTATGCGATGTAAAGGTGTCTTCCAGTTAAATGAAGAGGTGAGTGGCGCGCGAGCACCATAAAACAAACATCTCACTGATTTCCAGACAGATTACTGCACTGCGTAGGGGTGACAATGCTCGGGTAGCATACCGTTCTGAAAAAGTTGTCGAAGGAGGATTAATCACGTGCATTCCTTTTGTAATCGTCGACGAGAGTGGTGAAGGGGACTTACTATTGGGTCGCTTTTACGAAATGGAAGGTGCGATTGTAATGGACAACTTCACCGCCCGACAACTGTTCTTCGTAGACCGGAAACTGCTTCTCCCGAAACGGCCCGCGAGTTCATTAATGCCGTTGGATGTCGACATGGTAGAGTTTGAAAATCGAGGCGTTGTTCTGTCGAATCTCAGAGCCAGCGTTGAACCAGGGACAGAGAATTTCTACGTAATGTGTATAAAACATCGGCAATGGAATATTACGGTATGTGAGCACTGTGCACATCAATGAAAAGTAACTGATCATGGATTCGTAGACATTGACTTGGGTAGACTTCCGTGCCGAGTACATTTACGATATCTCGAAATTTGGCAGCGACAAGGCGGGGATTCTGTCTGTTGGAAATGTTATAGATGTAGGCGGTCACGGCGTAAGTTGGTCTGATTGGCAGGGCGGTTGGATTATTATGGTGAGTCGCAGCGAGCCCAAGAGTTAGTCAATTCGTACTGACTTGATTTCAGGTCGAAAGCATAGCCATACGACGCCGTGATTGAGTGGAAGTGTAGCGCAGGCGGTTGCATGATATGACAGAGTTGATTGTAGCGTTGTAGTTAGTAGTAATGTAATGATGCGAAATCAACACATGGCAGTTGAAATCAGAATCGGGACCTAAGAATGCGCCGTCGCTTCTCGCGGCGGGACAGTAAATGACATCATCGCGGGAAAACTGGGGCACGTGCTATAAGGCACAGAGTACTTTTGCCCATCCAAGCATTGCACTTCATCTACCATCGATAATATATATCAAACTATCGTTTTCACTAAGCATCATGTAAGCATTGACTTCATTGTGTATGGTACATTGTGAAACACATCGACTGATTTTCTGTTGAGACGGCGTCTAGCTTACAGTCTTATGATAATGGAAGACGGTGATCAGTCAAAAACCGACCAGGGTTTACAAAACAGAAGTGAGTGGATCAGTAAGCACAGTTTCTTAACATAAAAGTCGAGGACTGATGATTTGTCACTGCAATGGACGTCCAATGGAAAGGTAACTCGGGCGAAAAAGATGTAGCTAAGGAGAAAGTTGGACATAGAATATCGAGCGATAATAGCCCGCGCGTAGAAAATCATATCACAACGATGATAGAAGACAGACTGCATGTTGGAAATGTAGAATTGCAATCTCGAGGTCTACCGCATGTCAACTGGGTAGCGGACCGGGGAGACGAAGGAATCGCAAAGTGAAGAGAACGTCTGCATTGCTCGCTTGGGAAGGGATGCGAATGACATGGTGCCTTGCGAGTGATGAAGATGACACATTTGCAATGGAATTTAATGGCGCCGAGAGTTGCGAAAGATTATGCGAGCAGTGTGAATCAAGAGTGGGCGGTGCGTAGCGGAGTTGCGATGCGTTGCGCGACCGAGAGGGCGGCGGGCCGCCCCCGATGCTCTAGTCAACAAGAGAAAACTAATGTCAATTCTGAAAAACAAATGCGACAACGTGCGCGCCCCGCCTTTTAGGCCGAGGCGGGGTAGTAAAAATTGAGCAACAAACTGAAGCAAGCTTCTGGGCTTGAGAGTTTTTGTTGATAATGATATGGACAAACTTTTCGAACGACGGAGGAAAAGACAGAGAGATATGCCGCCGCTACCCGACTGATGTAGTCTCCTAGTCCTTTGTTTGCGTGAACTCTCAAAGTGCTCGTTTCAGAACTTCATGAGCTGAGGCGAATTATTGCATCCCTTCCCTCACGTTGTCAATTCTAAATTACAGGCTATCTTTTGTTCTCGAAACTCCTTGACCACGGGTTCTGGACCCTCATGTTTGGTGCAACTTTGCCTACAAAGCTGATTTTCTTCTTTGCATATCACAGCGAATTTCAGCAAACACTTTTGAAGCTGACCCTTTGCCCAAAGGCATTGGAATGTGGCACCTTTGACCTGAAAGGTATTGTGCTCAGGACGTAATGCCAAAGTTGATGCCAATCGCTCAAAGAGTCCTCGAGTAGTGAGTTCCTGCACATCTCCTTGGTGATAGCAGGCCAGATTTTCTAAATCTTTAGCCTTAGAAATGATGACGCTCACCATTAGAAAAATATTCAAGCTTATGTGGAGCTCGCTTGATTGGATATGAATTCGATGAGAGCACGTGTGGTTATCTCGGATCAGCACATCGTTCCTGACTGATCGACAGTCGATGCCAGATGGATGAGTTTTCCTTCCGTGCGTATGGCCATTTTTCTTTCTGAGCGGATGGACCTCAAACAGCCTCAAACCATGCCGGATTCAATCACGCGGCCTGATTTACAAATCAACACGCCTCGATCGTACGTATTCACACTGAGGCGACCCGATGCCGGAAGAGGCGGGTGACCTTCAATCCTGTCACAAGGAACCGCTAAGGAAGCTCCATCGGTAAAGTTCTTTCGAACCACACAGCTGACGTCATCACGGAGGCGAATGTTGAAGATTCACGCATACAAAACCTTTGAACATGATCATCGGACTAGCATTCAGCATACCTGCGCTCTTGACGATCTCTGGAGACTGGGACTGAAGCTTTTCAACATAAAGTCAACAGTCACTTTGGCTTTCTTTTCTGTCTTCAAAAAGATCTACAGAAGTCAGTCCCTTGATAAGTAAAATAATTTCTATCACCTTATTAATTGAGCTTGACTTCGGTCATCGATTTTGACTTTTTATCCTCAGTTTTTCTTCTTAAAGAGTCAAAGAGCTGGTGTCTTCTACTCCACTGTATATACTGCTATACTGCTTTCTACGGATACTGATCAAAAAATTAAAACTATTATCCTGTGTCCAAAAGCTAGCTCGAATACCCATGTCTGATAAGGTAATGTCAATTGTATCTTTTTCGATCGCACTTGCTGAGTTAATGATTTTCTTTTTAGGAACGCCCACAGATTGTTCGGCCCAAGAGACCCAGCAAGGTACGATAGCGGTTTTGAATTGAAGTATTACCGGCAGCTAACTTTTGTTTCATCTTTCAGATGTACGGATATCCTACGTCAATAAA